ATTGGGCAGGATTTTTCTACACATTTCATGTGCTCAACATAATTGCCAATCATAGTCCAAAGCATAGCGTTTCAAACGTTTTTGGACTTAACTTTATTTTACCTTCCATGCAGCCACTAGCTTCAGTCGTTCTCTGTGTGAAACATTTGCTAATTAGCACTAAATACAAAGTACAGCTGAGGCTGATGGCAATGTCATTACTTCTGCAGTTTGTGATATTTTGGGATTTTGGGTAGAATAAATATTAAGACTTAGGCTCTCACTACTTTCTGTCATTTTATAGACTTAACAAATGATCAATTATGCAATAATAATAACTGACATATTAATCAACAGTCTACAACATCCATCATAATCCAACAAAGTGAAAATATCTGCCATTTGGGTGTCAAAATACATTTCTTTCATCTTTTAAAAGCCAGAAGATGAACCTTAAGAGGATAGGACGATAGAGAAGCATGTCATATGACTGTGGTTTATTATTGCGTAAAAAAAGGGTTGCAATTTCTCTGTGAGCGGATATTCAAACTGTAGAGAAATGAATGGAAATCAATTACAAATGCGTGAAATCAAACTTCAAAGTTATGGTGAGCTTTGGATAAAAGTTGGTTGAAATGTAGCAGCAGTAAAAGTAGAAAAAACAACCACGGCGGTCTTGGAAAGTGATGAATATATCAAATCGATATTTTCCGTTCCTTAAGGGCCCTGACACACCAAACCAATGGTTGACCGTCAACCAATGTTGGGCATCTTTAGCCCTAGTTTTTGTGGTGTGTTCGACACTGCTGGCAATAGTTGGCCCTTGCCGGGGTTTTTTTTGGGCCAATTCAGTCTGTTGAATTGACGTCAGGGAAGGCAGAGTCCATCAGTGGATGAAATCACTCTGATTGGCAGATGATCTCAGTGCAGGAGACGAGAAACTTGATTGCGAAATGTAAACAAAGAGCTCAAGTCAAGTCAAGAGGGCATGAGATCAAAACACACTTGTTATATTGCGAAATTATTGTTATACTGCCATGTAGCTCTTTAGCAGATACAGTTAATAATTGTTAGCATTATTGTTTACTTGCGAATAGTAAATATCCTCTGTTATCGCAACACTGGGTTGTTAATGTGCTAACTGACTAACTAGCGTCTTGGAGTCTGTGCTATCAGTCTTTCAGTTTCCCTTTCTGAATGATCAATACAGACTACTGCTGCCCGCTGGTATGGTGAGTTATTGCCTTTAAGCAGGCACAGAACATACATGCTAGCTGGCCATAGGCTGAAGTTCTTGTGGTGCATTCATGTACAACTTGTTGGCCAAAACACAGGTGCCATGAGGCCTTTGTCACTACTAGTTCTATGATGTTGGTTTGGTGAGTCTGGGCCTTAAAACGAACAAGGATCCTGCTCATCTGATGTCTGAACATTGGTAAATTCTATAAAAACACCAGCAATCTAATTACCAGGCACACAACACAGACTAATCTAATCAAAACTGTCCTCTGCTCCAGGACCAGCAGATTCCAAATGTGATTTCATCAATTTAACACAGAAACAAAAACAGCTTCTCTGAAGGGATCCACTTCCTCCATCAGCTCTAATCAGTGTGTGTGTCCATGTGTCCGAGTGTGTAATGGGGCTAATTTTCAGCTAGCCTGAGCTAGCCTCGACCTCCTGAGGACAAAGCATGCAGTCTGCGTGTGTTTCTGCAGTTTAGCTGACCTAGTCTCTGAACATTAGTCTGGTTGGATGCTCCACAACACACGGGCTGAGAGAGAGGGAGAGAGAGAGGCGAACGGATGACATCATTGACTTTTGCTTTGAGTGGATCTGGGTTCAGCTGGACGGCAGCGGCGGAGCAGTATGATATCACTTTGGCCTACAGGCCCTGCACACACACACACACGCACATGCGCGCGTGCACACACACACACACACACGAGTCCTGCTCATGTGTGAGCACTGCAGTTTGTACACACACACACACACACGCACACATCTTAACTAAGGCTCACCCAATTAAGCAGTCTGTTGGAACATCGAACAAGGCGCTGTTCCCTTGCCGTGAAGTTAAGTGTGTTATAGGTTTGTGTATGTGTGTGTGTGTGTGTGTGTGTGTGTGTGTGAAGTGAAAGAGAGAGAGAGAGAGAGAGAGAGAGAGAGAGAGAGAGAGAAAGAAAGCAGGGCTAGAGGTTGGAAAATCCCTGGCAACAGCAGCACGTCTTATTTCATCGACTTTCTCTCTGAGTGGAAACATGACATTGTAAAGGATTACAAACAACCCCGAGTGTCAAACAACTCACAGGCTGTCCAACTGATGACGGTCATGATTGGCCAGAAGTTAAAAAGAGGAATCATTTAAAAGAAAAGACCTTGGAGGGTGTAATCACAAGCTGACTAAATGCAGACTGAGTGGCCAAAGAGTAGTTTGCATTCTCCAGATTTTAAGTAAAGTAATGTAAGATGAAGAAGAGCAGAAAAAGAATGTAGTCCAAATTTGAAGAAGGGCTCGACTGCTCTGACACTAAACTTCTCTCAGCTGTCACCATAACACTGAGCCTCGAGGGCAAAACATATTTAACTTTTTACCTCTGCTGAAACTCTATACCTGCCACTACACTGTAATTTCAGAGATTTTTGAAGGTCAATCATTTCCTCTCTGTGGAAGTCTTAGATCTAATTCTGTTACTGTACAACACCTGCTACGCCTGTTTTTCAGGTCAATCCAGCCGGCCCACCTGAGTTGTTATCGTCTGTGCTGTCAGCACTTTGCTCATCACACAGGAATACAACACTTGAGTAGAGAGGGTGCATTCTCGTTCTTTTCCTCAGTTACTTTCACTTACTTGGAATCAGCTCTTACTATTGTGACATATGGGATGGTGACTCAGTTTTCTAGCTAGAATCAATCTGTGAGCTATTCCTGTTTCCTTGTTCCTGGTGGAACACACCATCAAAAGTGAAGCTGATGTATCATATAATAAGTCATTTATGGATTTGATGTACAAAGAGAAGCCACACAAGTGCAGGAAACTAATCATCGTTATATTTGCATATAAAATATTTTGGACATCTTTCACTTTTGGATGACCTAAAACCCAAACTACAAGCTTCTATAACTCATCTCTTCCTCTGTCTGCATCTCTTCTCTTGTGAGGGCTATAAATTCAATGAGGGAAATCCATAAGGGATAAAAGCTTTTAACTGGATTCGCCTCAGTGATTCATTAAAGTACTGAGGTACCCAGTATCCATGGAGGGAGATACCTTTGTGTAACTCCACATCTGTGATTTCCTCTGTCAGACAACAGTGTTCTCTCATCCCATCGACGGCTGGTGCTTACACAGCACAGTAAATATTATTGACTTTTTCATTATCCACTGATGGCAATTACATTACTCTGTGCTTCAGCAATGATAGCTTACGCTCACTAACCACCAAACAGTCACTGCAGCTGCCAAGTACACACTGATAAATGTTAGAAGCACATTCAAAATAGAGACGTTGGTAAATGGACTGGAATGTATCGCACCTTTGTAGTCTTCTGACCACTCAAAGAGCTTTTACACTATGAGTCACAATCACACACACATTCACACACTGCTGGCTGAGGCTACCGTATAAGGTGCCACCTGCTACACAGCATTAACACGCTCAAACCGATGGAACAGCCACTGGGAGTAATCTGGGGTTCAGTATCTTGATAAAGGATACTCTGGGATGTGGCTGACTGTTTTATCGCATTGTGTAATGTATTTAACATTTATAAATGAACTACATGGTGTCAGGTTGGTGCACAGACTAGCACACTGATACCTTGTCCAGCATTTTAGCCAGTATCAGAGGCATTTCCAATACTTGTATCTCTATCAACACATCAATTAAAAGCAGTGGGGATGCCACACTGACGAGTGCAAGAGGTTACTCCTCTTTCTTATGATGTATTGAGTTCTGTCTTCATTTAGCTGGTTCACTGAAGCTCAAATTGCCACTGCAGCTTTGTTTAAAGTCCCTCTGCTACTGTAGTAGTCTCTATTATTGTGTTGGGGATAATCCCCTTTGTGTAGGGGGCTCACTAACTGTAGTTTGTCAGTATGTCGGCAGTGATGGTCCCATCCAACTGAGCAACACTCATTCACATAACTGGAGAGAAAAATCCCTCTGACATGTTTGAGTTATACTCATCCACCTTTTTCCAGCATAGTTTAGTAGTTTTGGAGATAAATCTTACAAGGTTTTACTCTTCCAAAAAGAAACTCATGCTTCTTGGAAATAAATCCTAAACTGATGTCATAATGATGTGTCATGCTGCTTCTCCTTCTTCCCTGAGTCACCCTCTCCCACCCATAACATTAGCAGCATGAAGTATGGTTTCACCCTCTGCCAGCAGATAAATTACATTAGTGCAGCAGAGCAACATGAGCAACGGTGTCCTGTTCTGTCATCCCTGTTGTCTCATTCAGCAAACCGATCGCAATCAGCCAACAGGGGAGAAATATATTCATAACATACCGCTCACCACATCAAGCAGAACCAGAGTAATCAGGGCAGCTGCTGTGAGCAAAGGACTGTTCTTCATCCACCCTCTGTCTTTGTTTATTAGCTCTGCTGATGGCTGCTGGCTCACATAGACTGTTGACATTATTCTGGCCTTGATTCCAGAAACTTCCTGCTAATTCGACAGTGTGCTTTTCCCTAAATGCCCTGTGGAGTTGGGGGATATTTTAATTCAAATATGCACCAAAGTCTCTGTGTTCAAAGTCAACTGCTTTCTAGTATGACACCGTGTTGAGCTACACAAGAACATACAGACTGCACTCCTTTTTTCACCAAAGCCCTAAAAGCTGGAGCTAAAATAGCTCACATGTCTGCAACACAGACAGACAAACACACACATCGACTTGGTGTCAAGTTTAGCCAGTCAGCTGGTGACATGTCAAGTCCAGAGGAACAACATGCAGTCGGGGGAATGGAGGGGATGGGGGGAGGAAGAGTGAGGAGAGGATTAGTTTTACCGTTGCAGAACTGTAGCAGTGATGAGGTGTCATACAAGCTGCTGTAGCTGGAAAACCCGTCCTCCATTCTCGACCTCTGCTCCGCTCCTTTCTGCTCCCTCTGCTATCCACCACTCCTTCACTCTCCTCTCCTCTCTCTGTCTCTCTCTGGTGACTCCCCTCCGCTAGTTTATCGTTCACTTGGCGTCCAAGGCGCTCCCTCCATTCACTCTGCACGGGTCAGGCTCCCTGGGTGAGTCACCATGGCAACCCATTCACTCCGATTATGTCATGTGAACTCCAACCCCTCTTCTTTTCCTCTTCTTTTCCACCCCCCTCTTACAAAAAAGTCCTGAACTACAGCTGAAAACACTCCCTGCTGAAGAATGACTGCACCGGAGCGCCGGAGAGACAGAAGTTCAGAGGCTGCTGGTGGTTTTCTTTCCTCTTGTGCTTGTCCTCTCCTCCCTCCTGCTCCTCTTTTCCCCTCGCTCTGTTCTCCTCTTGTCCTTCTGTCTTCAGCAGAGGCAGCTGTGTGTCGTTAGCTCTCGCTGATCTCCAGCAGAAAAACAGCTTTAAGAGGGCTTGAGCTGAGAGCGCAGGCAGGCTCTGGCACAGGCAGTTACTGTGTGTCCATGTGTGTGCGTATGTGTGTGTGTGTGTGTGTGTGTGTGTGTGTGTGTCAGAGGCGGTGTGTGTGCGAGTGTTTAGATAATGCTTGGGACAGCCCAGCCTTCCCCTGTCACAAAGTGTGGACGAGTCAGAGCGCAGGGGGCTGGGCCTGTCGGATAGATCCTCCTCCTCTCGGCTGGTGGGAGAGGAGAGAGGAAGAGAGGAGAGGAAACCAGAAGAGAGGAAAGAATAAAAAAAGGTGAGGACAAAAGAGGTGAGGAGGAGGAGAGTAGGGGACAAGGTAGGAGAGGAGAGGGGGAGAAAGGAGGAGAAAGGGAAGAAGAGAAGAAAAGAGGAGAGTGAATTAGAAGAGAGGAAAAGATAAAAGATGTGAGGACATGGGAGGTGAGGAGAAAGAAGGAAAGGAGAGGAAAGGGGATACGGGAACATTGTAGGAGTAGAAGAGGAGAGGAGGAGAAAGGGGAGAAAGGAGGAGAGGAGAGAAAAGGAAAGAAGAAAAAATTAAGAGGAAATGAGAAGAGGAGTGAGGATAAAAGATGCAAGGACAAAAGAGGTGAGGAGGAAGAAGGAGACAAGGTAAGGTTACGAAAGGAGAGGGGAAAAGGGGAAATGAGAAAAGAGGAAAGGATAAAAGAGGTGAGGACAAAGGAGGTGAGCAAAAGGAGGAAAGGAGAGAAGGCAAGGAGAGGAAAGGAGAGAAGGGGACAAGAGAGGAGAGGACAGGGCAGGAGATAGGAGGAGAGGAGAGGAGAGGAGAGGAGAGGAAAGGACAGAGGAGAGGAGGAGACAAGGTAAGGTAGGAGAAGAAAGCTAAGGAGAAGAGAGAGAGAGGTACAGGAGAGGAGAAGAGAGAAGAGAAAGTAGGAGAGGAGGAAAGGGGACAGGACAAGGTTGGGAGGGAGAGGAAAAAAGAGGAGAGAGAGGAGTATATGATAAAAGAGGAAAGTGGAGAGGAAAGGAGCACAGAGGGCAAGGTGGGGTGGAAGCAGAGGAGATGAAAGGAGAGGAGAGCAAAAGACGAGATGCGAAAGGAGGACCAATGAGGAGAGGTGAAAAGGTAGGATAGGAAAGGAGGAAAGAGGAGAGTAGGGAATAAAAGAGGAAAGAGGAGTAGAGGGGCGCAGAGAGGACAAGGTAGGGTGAAAGAGGAAAGGAGGGGACAAAAGCAGAAAGCAGGAAGAAGCAGAGGAAAGGAGGAAACAAGGTGAAGGAGAAGAGAGGAGGTAAGTAGAAGAGAAGAGAACTAAAAGAGGTGTGGAGAAGGAGGGACAGGAAAGAAGTGAAGAGAGGAGAAGAGAGGAGGAAAGGAGACTGGATAAGGTAGGGTAGAAGAGGAAGTAAGAGGAGAGCAGAGGATAAAAGAGAAGCAGAGGAGGGGAGAAATTAGGGTAGGAGATGAGAGGATGATGTACAGTGGGAGAAGATAAAAGGGGAGAGGAGAAAGAAGAAGAGAGGAAAGGAAAGAAGAGTAGGAGAAAAGGGAAGATGGAGGAACTATGTAGTGTATAGCAGAGATGAAAAAATTAGAAATGAAGGAAACCAAACCAATGGCTGGTTCCCAAAATGACTAAGGCTCTGTGGTTTCCTCAGTCAATATATAGTTACTACAGAACGCCCTTCCACACACTGATGTAGAGTCACGTGTGTTTGTAATGGTATGGAGTCGCACGGGGACACACCACAACAAAACCACCGTCACATTTTCCCTGGCATTTCCTGCAGCCAAACATTCAAAACTCAACATTGCTGGGGGATCTCCACTGTGGCCAAACATGATTACCATTTTGTCCTCTGTCTGTCTTATCTGCCCCACTGCAGACTGCACAGAGACCGAGGGATCCTTAAAACAAGGACAAGAGGGGGAGAGAATGAAAGGGAGACTAGGGGATTGAGGAAGGAGAGAAATAAATGGGATAGAGGGGGAGGGGGTGGAGGAGAAAAAGGAAGAGTGCTTGAGGAGGGTGGGCGGTAAAGAAAGAAGGAGCAAATTAAAAAGTGAGCAGGGTGGGGAGTTTGGCGAGGGGGGAAAAGGGGGATACCCTAAAAAATTGAACTCTAACTGGGGGGTTTTGTGTGTGCATGTAAGGGGGGCCTCTCTGCATTATTTATAATTCAAGCTTGCAGGGAAAAATAATAAGCCTAAAGAGTCTGTGGCCTATATTCATGTGTAAAACATTGCCCCCTTTTCCTGCTAGATCACAAGACGGAGCCGACAAAATCACACAAAGGCAGGGACGCTCTAAAGACAGCAGAGGGAGAGACCATGAAAGGACGCATTTGTTTCTCCCCGTGTTTTTATAGTAGCCCAGCAGGTGTGATATAATCTGGCTGTGTGAGGTTGTCTTTGTGCAGGTATCTCTCCTAATATCTAGAATCCTGTCTGGTTAAAGGTGGCCAGGCTAGATTTGACTTTTAAAGGAAGGATAAAAAGGATGCTGTGAAGCACCTCACAACAGCTGATCACTTTATGGTTCAAGGCCTCTGTGTTGTTGACCTCGGCGCTTGTATTCTCTCCCTCCTCCTCCTCCTCAGGAAAACACTGCACTCTGCTTCACTTATTACACAATAACATCGGGCCACCAATAGGTCGACCACCCTCACTCGCAGCCAGGATTATGTGAGAAAACAAGGTGCTCTTTGTACGCCAATGTTGCATTTGAGGACTGAAATAGTTGTTTAGTCAAATCACAAGGATATTACATTTCAAAACACGCTGAAAGTAGATTATGTCTTGACCTTCACACCATTTGCACACATTCTTATCTACAGCAACGATGTGGAAAAATGCACCAAGGTGTCTGCATTTATTTTAGATAATATGAAACCACATTTCAGATGTTTTTAACCACCCAAAGGCAACAACGTCTAATGTTTTGATTCAGATACAGAGAGGAATTTCATGCAGCTTCTCACCCAGAGTCAAATCAGCACACACTGTAAACATCCTTTGTGTTTTTTGGTTTGAGGATTGTGAGTCATACTGGTGTTTTGTCTGAAGGGGTTCAGATTATTGTAAATCTCATTCTGGGACAGATTTGGGATCTAGATTAGGCAAAGGTCTGGGTTTTGTGTGTCTGCCTCTCAATGCATATGCACGCACGTGAGACGAGGCAGCTAAAACTGGGGTATATTCCCCCCAAAATCCCCCCCATGGGTCCCCAAACCCCACCTACTACGCAGCGGGTGGCAGGTGGTGGAATCACTGCTGCTCCGCCACCCCTCCCCTCTCCACACCTCCCTATTGTTCCCCCCCCTTACACCACCCATCAGTGAATTCAGAGGGTGCACACGCGCGCACACACACACACTTACAATATAAACAGGATAGTGCTGTGGAGAGTGTGAGGATATCTCACATCTACCAGCAAATACTGCAACATGCAATCTGTCTTTACTGTTTTGGTTCACTCTCACAGCTCTCACAGCTTTATTTTCAGCCACAGCAGACACCTGTTTTCAGAGAAAAATCTCTATAAACCCACTTTACACTACCTGCTCACAAAATGACAAAGTTAGCAATTAGCCAGTGAACATTATACCCCTTTTCCACAAAACATTAGCAAGTGTACACAGGTCTTTTACACATTGAAAAACCCGCTAAAAACAAGCAATAGAATCCTTTCCCATTGCCAGTAGATTAAAGCTGTGTACACGGCTCTGCAGCAGATGACAATGCCTTTTCCTGTGTGTGGGTTTTTTGGGTTTTTGGGGTTTTCTTTTGGTGTGTTATGTTCGATGTCACAGACAGGCCAGAAAACAGGTTAATAAACAGAAGAAAGCAGCACGGAGGCCAGTGAAAACTTTACGGTGGTTACTTCTTTCTATATATCTGTTACTAATTCAGTCTTTCTTCTAAACTTAGTGCAGACTAATTTTGAGGGATGTTTAAACGCTGCTTAAGCGGAGACAGAAGGTATTTTGTAATGCGTATCATTGCATCTTGCTAGTTATGGGCTAAAATGAGTGTGTTCACCCAGGTGTTGTGTTTCCATCAATAATCGGAGCTGTAGCCAATAAATACCCATGACCACTGAAGAGTCATTTGCCTCAGATGTAAATGCTAATTGTAAACTTTCCCATTACATTAAAAAGCCAGATGTTAGCAGGTGTTAGCAGTTTTTTGAGGCTTTATGGATCATTTAGCAGCGAAAGACGCCGATATTCCCCTTCAGGAGTTGGTGGAGACCCAAAACTGAGCTAAAAGAGAGTAACTTTTCCGTAACTACTGAAGATGGAAGCAACTGTTTGCCAACAAGTCCACCATATCACCTTAAAAAGTGTTGCTAAGTCTGTGTTGTGTCCACAACTTGTTTCTGCTGCCCCCATGTAGCCAAAAAAATAAATAAAATAATTGCTGGTTGAACCACTAAAACTTAACCACTGACTCCATTTTTACAAATCTGTGTACAAAATGATGTACAATCTAGAATACTTTCATATGATGTAATGAAAACAGCAATAAAAGATGGTGTCTGCTGGCTTTAGTCAGTGTAAGCATACTGTAACTTACTGTAAAAGGTACATATATGATATTATCATATGGTGATTTTAATGCTTTCTGTAAATTTAAAGCAACTTCAGGGGCAATAAGGGGAAAATCAAGAGGTTCAAAAGGCACACATCATGCAAAAACAAAAGAGATTTTAATTAGTACAATGTTTTTGTACAATCCGTAGTGTCAATGCAGTTATCTTAGCATAATGCAACTAGCAGAGATTCAGTGTCTTGATTAAGAACACTTCTTGGCTTGGCATCAGGCCTCCACTGCTTTCTCACCCGGCCTGCTGACTCTGTTTTTACAGCTTTGGTTCTCAGGAGGAACTTGAAGGTCATATTCAAACTGAGCTCGTTGTCCTTTTTCCCTCTTCTTTTTTTTTTTTTTAAATAAACTGCTGACATTGGTTTTATCCACAGATGATCAGTCAGTCTGTCAGTGGGCCAGGATTATACACAATCAAATCCAGAGCTAAGGAGGAAACAAGGTCAATCCTCTGTATGATCCAGTCACCATCTGTGTGCCTGTCCTGGTTATTGGGCTGTTTTGTG